GAACATATCATTAAACTTAAAGAGGATTAAATTTCATCGAAATATTTCGAAAATTGCCATATGGGTTGCTTATCAGGCAAAAGGCCGGACAGACAAGCTTAAATTGATGCAGAAAATAATTGCAAATTAATCAACATAATAAAAGATGCACCCGGCTTATGTCCTTCTAAGTGATACATGCATTCGCATGCATTAGGTTGCTTCCGTATCGCCAAAATAAGGCTCTAAGGTATAAATATAAATATTCGATACATAAAAAATTAATGCATCCTTTGTCTCAAAAATGCTCCTTCCGGCTTTTACTTGTTCCCATCGATAAGTCACGCACTTGTGGAGAAACGCCTTGGGGTTCGGGTAATGAATTGAAAAAATGCTTTTCTCTCCGACGAATCTTTAGTGCATGACCGCATAAAAATAACATATGAAGAACAATTTTGTGAACGCTTATAAGCTAATAATAATTATTTTTTTTAATATAAATAAGTTTGAAAAATGCGATAGAAAGCCCTGTTAAAGTTCGCATTGTGAACATTTTGAAATTTATATTCTTCGTTTGTTACGTCCATCGTCGATGCCGAAGGATGTTACATATCAACCATATAAAGTTAATTAAAGCCTGTATTCTTTTATTAGATATAGATATAAATTCAATTTGAAGATACGAGTGCGATTAGCTACAGTTACATATATTCGTATAGCGCAACCTGGGTATTGTTCCGTTTATGATGCAATACGTAATTTACTTGCTTATCCGTGTCTTTCTCTTTTGCATCGTTTTGTTTAGCAAATTCTTGTTAACGAACGATTCGATCACTGATTTGTTATCGGCTAAGTCGCGGCGAACAACAAGTAAAACATTTCATGGTTGGCAAAATTTCTCAAATCATTTATTATCGTATGTAGAGCTCTTTCCTTTATTATTATAAATCATTCATGTTTACTTTCAGTTTCGTTTACGAATGTCAATTGCAGACTATAAGCATAGAAGATATGCTTATAGTCGTAATGGTAGGGCAGTCGACCAGGAGAAAGTGACAAGTGGGACATATTCTCTTATATATGCCTACGTATAGTGTAAAACAGTTAAAAAGATCTCAATGGACTCTGCTGCGGATGATAGCGACAATTATGAAATAAAGCAAAGCTTATATGTTAAAAGAAATGTACATTAAATGAATATAAGCCATTTTTCTCTTCTATTCTTTCAACAAAGAAATTACAAAAAAAAAAGAGAAACAAATAAATAAATAAAAAAAAGACAACACAAAAGCTCTTAAAATCAAAATTCCATGGAGTGCAAAGGACTAATTTTGTATCATAGATTTTTATATTATTGCATAATAGGTTTTTTTGTATTTTTTTTAGTTTTTTTTTTTTTTTTTTTTTTTTTTTTGCAAGCATTCATAATTGTAGAACGAACACATGAACAGATCTGCATAAAAGATGATATGTACCAGTGCGGGTAATAGTACTTGCGAAAGCAAAACTGAAGCGCTGGGCTTAAATAGTGTCACCAACAGCAGCAAGTTTTGTAGCCGCAAGTGGCATATCCTTTATTGTTATAAAAATTTTTAACTGCATACCCATTTTTAATGGAATATATATGGTGGTATTTTGCAGAATAAGTGCCGTACAACTACACCTATTGTACACATCACTATCAAAAGTCATCTGCCCTATAATAACAAAAACGAAAAAAAAAAAAAATATATATATATATATATATATATAAAAGCAGTCATTTCGTGTCACAAAATATTATATGAAATGTTTGGAAAAGGTAATGGAAAAGAGAGAAAGAGGTGAAATTATAAAGGCCATAAGAGAGAAGCGACAATGAAGGACACGTACAATTCGAAAGTTTTAAATAACTAAAAAACTAAATGATGCTTTTTTTTTAGTGTTTTGTGTTTCCTTTTCATTCCTTTTTTTTTTTTTTTTTTTTTTTTTTTTTTTTTTTGATAAATGGAACTCAATTTCCATGTTTCGCTCGCAGCGTTATACGCTCGAATATAGACAATCATAAAATTGAACTGAAATGGAAAGTTTGCAAAAATTGTTGATTGATTTCTATTTGCCAACCACTGCTGTTAAGTTGATTCAATTAAATAACTACGACATTATTATCCTATGACATATTGCAAGTCTCCAATTTGATGGACAGAAAGACTGAGATTAATTCTTATCACAATGTAAGAAAACGTAGCCAATAGTAGACTTTTGCGAAAGATAAACTACAACAGTAGTATGGTTTCGCCCGAACATTAACCCTACTGAAGGGCTTCATAATATTAAAAATTTTTCTTTTCGATTTAATAGCTGCTTCGAATTTTCTAGAATATATTTTTCTGCCTCTTGATATATAACTTCTATGGATATGGCATTGAGAGCTATTCAAAAGATAGCAATGCTTCTATCAAGATATTAAATATGTATTGATATTTAGTGTGTCGGTTATGAATTCAACTATAGAACTATAATGGAATGTATAAGCCTGTAAAACGTGCGATTCTATCGCAAAAGCGATTACTGCAAAATCTTCGAGTAACGAGAACGAAGAATATTGGGCGTTGATTGGATGAATTGGAAAGCATTTGAACATAGCAACATTTTATTGGTCAGCAATAACATTTCAAAATTTTAAATACGTTTTTCATAAGGATGTGAAGATAAATTCGAATTTAATTAGCAAACACACCTACCATGTATGTTAACAAAACTGTGTTAACGACTTAGCCGAGTTCTGTTAAATACTTACTATTGAGATATAGTCGGATTTGAAATCCTACTCCGTCCATATTAAAAAAAGGAAAATATTTTTGTGGATATCTCATGAATCTATATGAAAATACCTTTCAAACGAACTAAACAAATTCAAATTTTGACTATGGGAGCTATTTTTAACGATGTTTTGAAATTTGGTATGTTAGAGAAAAATGGATATGGGATAGCAGGCAAATTTGAGATTCTAGTGCGGCCAAACTAGAAAATGTCGCTTATATTCACCTATATCACGTGAATCTATATAAAAGTATTTGTCGAATGGGTAAAAAAAAATTCAGACGTTTCTTTCATGGACATAGAAGAACATGCAAATATAGGGCGACATTTTCTAGTTTCGCCGCATCAGAGTCTCAGATTCGGGTGTTCTTCCATATCCATTTTCCCAATTTTCAAAAAATTATTAAAAACAGTTCCCATAAGCAGAATTTGAATTTGTTTAGTTTGTTTGAAAGGTATTTTCATGTAGATGGACTGAATAGACTTTCAAATCCAACAATATCTTAATTTTAATTATTTAACAGATCTATGTTAAGGCGTCAACAGAGTTTTGTTAACACTTATGGTAGGTGTCTTTGCTAGCTAAATTCGAATTTGTCTTCACACCCTTACAGGCGGATATGCTCATTGCGAATTGGAACCGATAAAGACTTTATATATCATATGAATTTTTTAAAGTTTGCTTCTGCGCATTATAAAGAAATTGAAAAAGAAAATTTAAATTTTTACATATTAGGCATGGTCAAGTTTTCCCATTTTTGTACAGTCACTACATCATCAGCGCTAAAATATACATTTCTGTAGTTTACGAGTAATGAGCAAAAAATCAATTTTTTGTTTCTTTTGAAAAAATTGAGCCGTTCACAGTTTCCATGATAATGTAGGCGTGTCCTTCGACCGATTTGACTCACTTTTTCATAAAAATGCGCGAGCAAAAACTTCCGATTTTCTTATCAATTTCGAAGTCAACAGCTTTATTTTTGCGGTCAGGAGTGTGTTTAAAACGTTCACCGACTGATAGAATAGAGTATATTATATACTTTGTGGGGTCTCTAAGCTTCCCTTTGGGCATTGCAAATGTTTTCACGAAATGAATATAGACCTCATTCCTCGGTGATGGCTATAAAAATAACAAAATAATATTACCCCTTAAGTATACCAGACACTGCACTCTGATCACTTTATATATGGATGATTCACTTGCCAAATCGATTAACTCGATAAAACAAGAACTTTAGAAAAATGATAAAATATTATAAATAAATTATTTATTATTTCGTGGCCAAAACGATTTTGCCATTTAGTGGTGTTAATACTTATTATTAGAGAAATTCGTTTCGAATATGTACACTTAAGAGCTAATGAAGTGCTTTGACAATAAAATTTAATAAAATTCCAAAAATGGAGTTAATCGATTTGGCAAGTGAAGCATCGATATGAGAGAAGTTTTCACATCCGAAAATGCTGAAATATCAGCCCGTCTTAGTTGACAGAAATTAAAACAATAAATGGCTAAGAGTTTCGATTGCGTTGGGATCGTGATCATTTTTTGGAAGACTGATATATACCCTATATGGTGTTCAGAAGGGATGTCAGAGCTCATTTCGCTTTTTTCTGTCTATTATAGGCCGGAATTTTAACGGAAATATTAAAATGTACTGTGGATAAATTAAGCCTGTTACCGGCTCCTTCAAACATGGCCGCAATTTAAAGACTATTTTAAAAATAATTTTCTACACATTCTTTCATTTGCGGAGGGAGGACATTGTATGTATTTACATCTGTACCCAAAATCTTTTGGTGAGATCTTTATTAATAAATATTAAAATTACACGATAACACTGTCTAGTTAGGAGCATGTCATCTCAGCAATTAGGCTCCAAGTGATCAGGCCTGGTTCGCATAAACACGTAACAGAATGCTGTACACGAAATTCGAAAGGCCTGGATTGCTGCCTGCGGTGAAACTATTTCAATAGATAAAGTGTTTTACAATACGATTGGAGCATAAATGGCGAGAAAACGGAAAATATCTTTGAACAGAGAAGATAAACTAGTCTGGCTTTTCTTCTAAAACTGACGAATTGGAGAATTGAAATTCAAATAAATCTGATTAAAAAACCCTTATGATTAATCAGGGTAGACGACATTTAAAACTTAAAATTTAAAAAAAAACCGATGTGTAATGTATATGTGTAAACTAAGAAAAATTATACTCACTCGAATGCAAAAAATAGTGCACTTGTGCCGGTAATGAGAATGCAAGTTAAATAAAAGACACTCGTATGAGGTGCGGACATCAATAAGCCATCACAGTAGAATTTATTACGTCCGGCAAATAGTTCCCATTTGCGTGTGACGCGCGTATTTGGTGCCATGTTACAGCAGCAGCAACACAGTAAATTCATTTAGCTTAACAATAATATTATGTAGTTGATAGGGTAAGAGAGCGGTGCTAACGCAACGATGCTGTTGCCGCCGATTTTTGCTCCTCTTCTGCCGAGGACGTGAGCGATGAAAGTGATGTAAGTTTGTATTGCTTAAAATGCGACGTTCGTATGCAAGTGTGTAGCGTTTCCTTCCCAACTAATTTATGTATTTATTTATTTATTTTTTTTTTACACTTTTTGCTTACGCTATGCCAATGTTATTCGTTATTGATGCGGTTGGTGTTGCTGTTTTTGAGAAGGGGTTTTGTAAATAATCCTGCAATAGGGAGATAAAAACCAATGCTACGTATGTTTAAAAGTATATATGTATGTGCACACACAAACGTAAACATATATACATCGACATACACAAACACACACATGCAGATAGGGCCTAGCTTAATGGAGGCGTTTGCAGAGCTACGCGCAAAACTTTGCGCAAATGATGCGCGTAATGTAGTAGAAGCTATAGGAAGGCAGGAAAAGAATCAAAAATTGATATCAACGTTTTCAGTGACGAGCTAGTGGTGAAATCCAAGAGCTCATTAAGCGAGACTACGCGAACAACGGTCATCATGCAATATTTCGCGAAGTCAAAGTCAAAGACGACAGAAATACACTCTTCAAGCTCCCCGGATCGTAATTGAGAGATGCATGCTTCAGCGAGAGAAGGAGTAGATCGACTCCAGCGTGGCCCGCGTAAGCCCCCGATTATAGCACACTACCTTGCCAAAACGCCAAAAAGATGGAGAAGCGGGAATGCATATTACGGGAGGAACAATGAAATAAGTTCATCGAGAAAGCACTGTCAGCAGGCCAGTAAAAAGGTACCGCAATCTAGGGGAAAATAAAGTCTTTTGGGTCTATATAAGTGGTTGCGGTGACTTCAAGAAGTTGTTAAAAAAAAAAACCAAAAAAGAGAATTTCGATCGCCCAAGAAGAAAATGACAGGACATAGATGGTCACAAGTTATCTATATTTTCTTGCTTTGAAGGATAGTGTCAACATTTTTCCCTCGCCGTGGCATGGTTATTGATAACCGTCTAAAGTTCACACAGCTGCTGTCCAGTATGCTGCAGATATAATGGCATTGACTCAATCGTCGTTAACACAAGTTACGGACAAGTATAAGAGGCCCTAGAACTGCCCTAGAAGCAAAGTCTCATCCACAGTATTTATCCTAGGATGGGCTAGAGTAGAATCAACGTATAGAACTCTTCGACAAATACGCGGCTACCAATCCAAACCATCCCGGAAGAAGCGATTCTAGTGATCGCAGGAGTAATACTATTTGATATCTGGCGCGATGAGAAAAAACATCTGAACTCAATGAAAAAGTGTCAAGCGCGTTGGGAGTGGATTGTGTAAGGTGGTGGGTATTCTGTCTCACCCCCAAATCAAGACGCCATCACGCAGTTTTTAGCTGACCATGGTTGTTTCCGAAAGTATCAAAGAATCGGATATGACAGTTCACTATCATCTCTGAGCACCATTCGCGACGTATGGTACGACTGCGCGGACACCGCATGAGTTACTCAAGAGCATGGCGAAAAAATCAGAAGTTTGAAGAACCGTGAATAAGTCCATGACAAAATTACTGGTGGTTGGCGACTTATCATATGGAGAGGAGAAGAACTAAAACAAGGTAGTCCACTACAGTCTCACTATAAAAGTCGGACTAATTGTCTCCCATGTCCGCGCATTAATACTCCCTTTGAAGAAGAAAAGAGCATAAACACACAGCTACACAAATTTGTAGAGAGATGCCTGACGACTGGTCACAGCAAAATTAAGGTGATTGAAATGGCATTTCCACAAGGGTGGACCATCCATTAAGCGTGCGCAATGATCAAGAATGAAATTAGTACAGTAACAAGCGCACTGAAACATAACAAAGCTTCGGCGTCAGATGTGATTCCAAAAGAAATCGTTAAGAGTGCTGTGAGAGCACAAAGCAATGTTTCCTTCAAAAGTGTATACAAGTTGCTTAGGCGCTGGTTTATTGCTTAAGATATGAATGACACAGGAGCTGATACTGTCATTAAAGCTAAAGAATAGGCCAGTTGGAGAGCCCAGCTTCTATCCACCCCCGTGCAAGAAACGTATGTGACAACTATTGGAAATTCCGATCGGAACTTGCCTAGAAGAACATCTCCAAAGTGTACAAAGCATATCATAGTATCAATACAGCTTTCGACAGTGCTAAAAGTAATAATTGGCGTAGCACAACAAACTATAGCAGGTAGAAGATGACGTTATGGAACTAACAGGTGCTACAAGATAATGCCGTTGAATATAAACAATGCATTTAGTTCAACTAGATGGAAAGCATGTCTTAACGACGCTGACTAGATAGATTATATAGGTGAACTAATTACCGGATTGGACACTGTCGTATTACATGTCGGAGGATGCCGAATGAAAATAAACATAGTGGCGATAGGCGATAGGCGGAGAAAGATTCTAATCTGCGGGGCACTTCCACCAGTAGACACAAAATCGCATAATAACGCCAATGCAAATTTGTATTCGGAAGTAGGTGTTAATAAACTGAATCGAGAACTCAAAAATTTTGAAAAGAATATGACAGACAATATAATATAAGTTGCTAAACGGTGCAATGCATGTGAGCCCATCTTACAGCGAGCCTGGCAAATCTACGCAACGTTACTTCGATATGACTATGGGATCAGTTTAATGCCATGTTTGAATATTCTGCATCTAGTACGAATAATCGTCTACTGGTATCGGTGAGATACCAGGTGTTCACGGTACGCATGCGAAAAAAAATATTCGTGTGGCGGTAACATAGACATATAGTTTGATTGAAAAAATTGTAGTAACAATGTTTCAACTAGACATTGGCGTTAAGATGATTTTTGATTTCACTTTATGGAAACCGTCTTGCGCACAAATTCATACACACGTGAATTAACGCATTAAGAAATTCAAACACCTTCATACATTTTCTAGAAAAATCTCAAGTATTGCCATTGCTACTGCTGTTGTTTCTGATGATGCCTCCGTAAAGCTTGGCTCCTGGCTTGGTTTCATATTTGATATTAATGTCAAGTGCTTACATGTCAGTCTCCTTCTATACTGATTGGTCAAGTCGATCTGCTTCTCGCTAAAGCAGATAATATTTTGGTTTTATTGCTTCTAGATAATGCCAACTGATCGGCCGAATTGCGAGTTGGATTTGCTTCGTTTACTCACAACATTCATTTTGTGAAAACTCCCCCTTTTTAAATTGCTGTGTTAAGCGTATTAAAATTTTCCTTGTTTTTTTTTTTTTTTTTTTTTTTCTTTCTTGCTACTTTTATTGTATTTATTTTATTGTCTAAAACTTTTCCAGTTCTGATAATAAAATGTAGCAGGGAGAAAAAGTGTATTTAAAGGGCTTTCTCGTTGTTTGGCTTGTTGCGCGGTTATTATTGTTAAATGCTTTTTGCAAAATGTGGCAAAGTGTTACTGTTTCAATTGTTCACATATGTCTATATTAATGTTTACTATGCGTACACATATATATATATGTATAACTGTATGTTTGTCCGTATGTGTGTGTATATATACAAAATATACAAACAATTCCGCATATGTCGGCTTTTCTGGTTTATAACAATTGTTCAAAAACTTTTCAAACATTTTTCGCTCAAATTTGCCTAATTTTGGTTTGTTTAAAAATTTTGCGATTTTGTTCCCGTACAAAAAAAAAAAAAAAAAAAAATTTTTATTTTATATTTTCTTTTCCCCAATTCTACTTTTTTACTTTCTTTACTTTTTTTTTTCTATCTTTCTTTCTTTCTTTTTGTATCGCGTTTGTTGTGCGCTTTAAGCTTAAAAATTTTATTTCTCACTTGTTCTCCGGCATTTGTTATGACTTTCTGCTGAATCAAAATTGAAAATTAGTTGAACAGTCTCCAATACGGTATGATGTTATCGTGGCTGTTATTCGATTACTCCTTTAATTATATTATTTATTGATTTCATTCACTTTACCATTACTAAACGTAGCAGTTGTAATATACTTGTTCCAACATTATGAAGTTAATGATCTCTAAAGCTTTCGTTTCGCATTTTCCAAAATATCCAAAATAATGATCAATATTCGAATCGTACTGCTTGATATCACTTCATTAGATATTTTATTATTACTACGTTTTAATTTCATGCTTATGTTGTTTATTAAGTTGCCTGCATCAACAGCGATATCTGTAAGAAAAAGAGCAACTATTACGTATGAGTGATATTAAATTTAAGAATTATTTTGTATTAATAGTAAGACAAATCATATATTTCTGCATTTATAGTATGGTATATAAGGTATGACGATATGATATATAATCTCTTTTGTTTTAGTTCTTTCATAAAATTACATATCACTTAATTCAAAAGTTATATAAATTGAACATAAATTCAAAGAGAAAATTAATTATAGAATAATTGATATTAGAATGGATAGAATATATAGAAAAGCTACTCATACGTACACGATATATGAAATTTATGATATTAAGTCTTAAATACAAAATTATTATATATTCATATATATATATATATCTATTTACACTGACGAGCAAATGCTTGCTTGGCTGTTCGAGGCCGTGGAAAGTTTAAGAAAAAATTCGCAATATATAGTCTTTGGTTACTAAGTGAAAAGCTCTTAGAGAACGAGTTTTTTTTTATTTAATTGGCATTGGAAAGTTTTTAGATGTAATCGCTGACTACGCTCGTTACTTATGGATAAATAAAAGTATGTCACTCTGCTTCTAGCACCCGGAAGTATTGAAAGGTGTTTTAAAAAATAATTGGAACATATTTTGTTTAAACATCGAGGTTTATTGCATCTGTGCTAGCTGTTAGCCAGCAGCAGCAGCAGCTAAGCAGCCAGCATGCTTTGTAGCCAACATGTAATGAGAATGTATTTTTTTCTGAATACCCGCGTTATGATATCGATGTGTTGTATTTTTCGGATACGTTGGCATGACTGCTGTAAACAATTGACATAAATTTCGAGACGTGTTCCATGTTAGGTTAGTAATAGCAGCGTTTTCTTTCTAATTTGTAGCGCGATATTTATCAGATCGTTAAGTCGTTTACGGGTCATAAGTTTCATCGTCAGTAATGTTACGAAAATCCCAAATTCAGTTAAATGTCAGCTAAGTAATTTTCGTAAGAATAAATTCCCTAAAGAAGGGAAAACCAAATGTGCACATTCGTAGGCTCGTCATGCAGGTGCAGGCCGATGGAAACGATTAGAGGAAAAACCAGGCTAGGATTAGACCCTAACCATAAATTTAGGTATAGCAACATTCTTGTAAAATTGTATATATAGTTCGAGTATTTGTGAAAAGTAGAGTTAGTCTGGCAAGAACGTAGAAATTGAGAGTACGGCCAAAATAAATTGTAAATAAATATTCCTACTGTTGTGAAAGACAAAGTAGTAAAATAAAAGAACTTTGAAGTGCATTTCTCTTGATCAAAATAGCCACGATCTAGTGATACGGACTGTATCTCATAAAAGCGAATTTCATAACAGTAATTTAATACATTTAAGTACGACATTGTTTTTCGAATCAATTCAAAACTTTTGAAACAATATGAGAAGACATGCTAGACGAACATAAATCATCCTTCAAAATTATTCCTATTAGCGTTATTGAGTTAATTGAGACTTCAAAAGTGCAAGCTCGTAGCCGCAACGCTTTCGTAACATTGTTAATTCATTGCATTTTATTTTTTTGACGAAGTTCGATGAAAATTCAGAACAGAAAAAAAGAACGCTATTATTACTAACCCAATCATATATCATTAAAACAATGTAGGCCTTTTACCTCTTGTTCCGCAGTAGTATGAAGTATTTTTCCTAAGCATTTTTTGAATTTTGCTTTCCATATTTCCGAACAAGCGCCCTAAACTTTTGCACGAACATCGATATTTCTGAAGAAAATTAAGTACGACCTATGCCTATTATGTAATTTTAAAGTTACATTTGCTTATATAGAGTTGCTCAAATAGAAATAACAAGTGGTAAAATTTCACGCTCATACAGCTTATAAAGTACATTAAACGGTTATAGTTCTTAGTATAAATTGTTACAACTTGCTGAGTTGTTGTGAAAAAAGAAAAAATAAATAAATAAAAAAAAACTCAAGTATTTCTGCATTCTTTTTGGTGTTCATCCGCTGCAATTCACTTTGTTACAACTCTATGTATATAAGATAAAAAATATCAAACTGTTGCTGGACTACAAAAATGTGCTATGAATTTTTATTGTGAATACTTGAATAGTTTGCAACGTGAATCATGCATTACTTCTATGTTGCTTTTCTACGTCACAGACTCTACGTCGATATTTAAGATAGAGCTCTTCTTCGATCAAATCATAAGAATTTATCAATTCGTATTTCGTTTCGAGTCTTTTTATTCACTACCATCACACAATCGTATTAGTTAGAACAACAAAATCGCCGATATGAGCTCAAGAAGTCATTTCTAAACTTTTTACTCATTACTGTATATGCAGAGAGAAACACTGTTATCGGCAGGATATAAATAAGTTTCGTTAATATTTTCTCATTAAAAATATTCAAATAAGATTTTGTTAAGTTTATAGCTTATAATAACGTAATTTATAAGTACATATATACATGGTGGATATACTTAAATATTCGCATGCTATTGTATGGTTACTATGAGTGGAGATAGAGTTCGACGTAGAGATAGAGGTAGAGGTAGAGGTAGAGGTAGAGGTTGCATTATTGCAATTTTATCAATTACTGAATATTTTCATTTACATACCATTCCCATAGATGTTTAATTTAGTCTGTCTACATTAGGTCAATAATTGTGTAAATTGTTATCAATGAGGGATTGAAAAGCTATAATATCAGTGAGGAATAATGAATAAACTGAAAATACAGCAGCTATATAAACATATCCGTATACATAGCTATTGAATTAATTAGATATTTGAATAATATCAATATGTTCTTGGCACTTATATGGATATAGACATGCTACTAATTGATACAAGTCAATCGTGCATCGGCAAGCTTCATTTGAGGTTTCTGAAGCCATTTGACAATAATGTGTGCAAAAACAAATAAATGAAAATAAATGATGAATAAATATTGAGTACGCAAAGTTCTATATGTTAGGTGTAGAAGTAGGTTCTCTTCTCTGTTTTGAAATTGGTCGCTTTATAAAACCTATCGAATGCATTCATTTCGCTTGCAGCTAATTTTGACAAAGGTATTTATTTGCACAATATAAGTATCAGTTGTATCAAAATATAAAGAGTTACAGAACAACAAGCAGCTTTTCTGTTATTGCATGTTATTCAGTTTTAAACTGAAATAAAAAAGGCAGTTGAAGCTACACTAAAATAATTAATAGTCGGCTTAAGGTGCAAATCCCATAAAGTTGGAAAGTGACTTGCAAAATTTCATGCAAAATATGTTTAGCTTTGAAAACGAAGATGAACGTTCTGGAGCTTCGCAAAACACGCTCGATGACGAAAATCATAATTGACTAAGCGAAAATGCAGCAAAAGTATGCAGAAACAGCAGCTCACAGCACAGTTAGCAAATAAATCAAAAAGAAATTTCGGCTTGATTGCATAAAATGGAAAAATTCACCGAGAGAAAGAGAGAGAGAGAGAGAGAGAGAGAGAGAGAGAAAGAAAGAGAGAGTTGCGGCCTAACCGTGGATATCATGTATGCTCGCAGTTGTTAAGATACGGTAGAAAGGTTATCTACATCAAAATGTTACGGGCGACAATCCTAAAGCAAGAAACACATGACTTGATCCAAGACTACTGAGTGCCGACTTGGCTTCTCCTTGTTACCACTTGTTCAAATTAGTACGATCAGATTTAAGCGAATCAACGGTTCACCAAATTTGAAGATGTACGAAAATACCTCGGAAACTGTTCCGCTTCAAAATTGTCAAGTTTCTACATAAGTTGACTGACTAATTGGTTATTCTTTGTGTTAAATATATTTTAAATATATTTGAATTCCAGCAAAAAAAAAAAGGACAGAGACCCTGTTTCTCCATCTAATCAAGTGACAAGTGAATTCACGTAAGGATTTTAATTAGTTTTAACTTTTCCGTCTAAACCGTCGCTTTGGTGGCGTGAACGAGAATCGATGAGTTTTTTTCTACTTGTAAGTTTTTATAAATTCAATACACTATTTAAACAAGTCAAACAAATCCTAAGACCTTTATCTGAGAGGCGAAATTAGCTTAGCTATCATAGCCGAGTTGAAAGCATAAGAAAGTAATACATTTCTGCTTATTTGCATAGTCCAAATAACTACGATGCAAATCAGGCTAAATACCCATAATGCACACGGTCGAGTGAAGTTTTATGTAATATGAGTTGCTCAAACCAAACCAAGCCCCTAGGGAACATTACAATTGATGGAAGTGACTCGCAGAAAGAGCAGAATATGCCAAAGGTCTTAGGAACGCAAATCTAGGCATGATGACGTCTAACTTCACATGTCAAAACTCGACCAAAATAATGTTAGAAGCACCATGTCGTACATTGTATTCGAAAGTTCCATTTCAAACCAACCGTACTTCCATTCTTATGGTGACACTGAAAAACTGACTCCCATTGTAGGTAGACTCAAAAGACGAATTAAATAACATTCGTCATTGTGTTGAGGTAATTTTCACTTTTCTTAAAAACAAAACTCATGAAATTATTTGAACATCTTAGGCATTTAATGTGCAGTCACTCTTTACTTAACGTAGCTATTAAACTCGAATTAAGTCAATAGCATCCAAGTCACGATTTCATCGATCAGTTAATCAAAAAATTGACTGAATTAGAGTTACCCTTGAACTATGCAGCTCAGTGTTCGATGGGTTTGGCTTTCTGGCTCCACAGCTAGGAAATTACTTTCACTAGTCCTTTTTGTTCAATTACTAAACAAGATTGCACTTTTGCACTCTTTCAAAATTACAAAGGCACCCAAGACGAAAATGCCGCAATGAAAAAGATTTTGATCAAATTTTGATGGTGATGGCAATACGTTCTCGAAAAAAGCTACCGAAAATGTTCGACGACCGTTGGTTGCAGAAAATCGAATTTCGCTAAAAAAAAAAAAAAATACTAAATGTTTTTTCTTCTCAATTAGGTTGACAAATTTTTTTAGTGGTCTCCACATATTGCATTGAAGAGACAGCTCACATAGACT